TGTAGCAATATAATTTTTAGGGGGGTCAGCCTGTACATAGCAGAATAACAATTGTTCAGGACGCTGGTATTAACCCCAAATCTGCCATGGTGGTGGGAACTTTAATGACCAAGTCAATAGCACCTTGTTTTGGGGTCGTATCCAAAGAGCATCACATCCTCCAGTACAGTCTCTCTGGCCACCATACTGAAGCATTGGTTTGGAAAAGAGAAGATGGAAGAGTGCCACGTGGTTCATCAATACCACCATATCAATCTTTTTTCCTAGTAGGTCACCTTACTGACCAGTCTGACTTTGCTTCTGAGATCTGCTGTGATCAGACTACAAGGTGGAAAAGTTGCATCCTCTAATTAACTAGTTTTAAAGGTTAAACGACCACTCAATGGAAAAAAAATTAAATAAAAATTAGACATGGCAGTTTCAGTAGATGCTATTACAGTCCATGTCCCTTGTGCGAACTACAGTGATCTCCACTGTGAAGGGTTTATAGTTATGCGGGTGTGAAACATCAGGTCTAGTGTGACTCCCACTCAAAGATGCATTCCCTCACAGAAACTACTCTCATTTACTTCCTAACTGTGCAAAGCAGAACACAAGAAATACTGCACATTAGTTTTGAAAAGATGGATACATTCTGGCTCAAGCACAATAGAATGTGGGATCTCAGGACGCTTAAGGAGTTCTATGTAAAAATTGCTTTAATATTCTGATCTCTTAACGTAATTCCTATTGGTATGTTAATATGTGTGAGAGTATTACCATGTGGCCCATCCCTCTACTGTGCAGGGCATGTGGGTCACACTCATATTTGTTGTTTTACTCTGTGATGGATTTCTTCCTGTCTTTGGCAGTGAAAAGCTGACATGCAGAGGCTATAGCTGTTTGTTTTACTAATAGCCTGGCTGGTGGCATCATTCCATACAGATATCAGATCCTGTTTGCTTTAGGGTTTGAAAAATCATTGGGTCATTTAAATTCACTGATCTGAACGGAAGAAACAAAATAATCCTGTAGAATTGTAGAAGCAAGTCGCTGTGTATGCAGTAAGATAAAAACAGAGGAGTGAAATCATTTGAAGAAAGGTGACCAAATGTTTGTTTGCCGTTTAAAATCTCAATTTAGCTGTACTGTAAATGTGCAGATGTCATGTAGCCGAGAAACTCCACTTTCAAAAAATGAATGTAGCTTAAATGCAGATGGATTGAGGGAAATTTTGTTTTAAACCCAACAAAGACTTGTCTTATTATTTGCAAGTTCAATTCTCAGATGATAAATGAAGGTCCTTGAGCATTATCTGTGTTATAACTTAATAAGGACACTGATTGAGTCTTCCTAATAAAAATTAAATCCCAAAGTGAATAAAGAACTGGATCAGAGCCCTTTATAGTAGCTATGTTTGGTTAAGACAAGGACAGTAAAGCACACCTGAACCACAGTAAAGCACAGAGATGTAAGGTACAAATGTGTGCCGTGGCAAGGTAATTGGTAAACACGACATTAATTGCTTAAACCTCTTGAAATATGATTTTGCTGGAGGAACTTAATCTCTTCTAGTGTTTCTCTTCATCTTCCTTACCTGAGTCTGGTTTTTCCTTGTTACAAGAACTCAAGGTGTTCTTCCCCTGGGATGCATATTAACCACTCTGGCTAAAGGAGAAGTCTGTTACTGTCTAGGCTATTGTGATTCAAATATTTATACTCCTGGTTTTATGTATGATTTTGTAAAAGGTCAAATATGCTTTATATGACCCCCCTGCTGAAAATCCTCTTCCCCCAGGACAGAGGAGAAACAGGCAAGTTGCCCAAAGTCAAGGGTGCTCTTTGTGTTTCACCATTTCAGCCAGAAGGTGTCAGCTTTGCATCACTCTCTAGTCAAGAAACAGCTCTTCAGACATTTACAGGAAGTTTAAATGGATCTGCTACCATTCTTTCCACCACATCTGTTTCTCTGTTTTTTTTTCTCTGCAAATCCAGGTGAAACACTAAAACTATGTTTTGAGTGTAATTTGTTTATCTGAAAAAAAATACTTCAATTTCACATTTTTGTGATCCTGATTGTGATTGGTTCAGATAGTAAAATGTAGAATTTTCCATTATTTTCAGAAACCAGATAGCAGGTAATACTGTTTTAAAAGAACCTCTTTCAATTATGAAACTGCAGCTGTTTTATTTTTGAAAATAACTCTAAATCAACTAGCAGATGGAACAAAAGGAATAGGCTTAAGAAAGAGGAGTATGAATATGAAAAATGAGTTGTTTGGAAGAGGAGGAGGAAAAAGGAACCAATGAAGTCCTAAAATGGATAAATCAAGTCCATCCAGATTACAGCTTGAAAGAAGAAACTGGAAAGGAACTAGACTTTTCATTAAAGGGTTTCTGCATTGTGCTGAAAATCTTCTGATTCATATCTTCTACAGATTTTTCTGAAACAATTTAGCTGCTCGTTTGTTAGGTTTTGTTTAATAGAGAATGGACAAACCAAATTAGTAACACTTCCAAGGTGACGAATGCACTTTAAAGACTTCTTTGTCGCGTAGACAACAAAAATGAAAATACTAGCTGTCTTGTAATTAAGCACTTTGTGCAATAAGTGGAAGAAGTGTTCGTCTGTGGAACAAAGTGTGGTGCTTTTAATATGACTGCGGCTGGCAATTTTAAATACAAGTAATAGGTTTATTCCATGCTGAAAAAAAAAGAGGAAAGAAAACACAACGTTTCGGCCGTGGAGCCTTCTTCAGGTGTGAGCTAACACCTGCTCGCACCTGAAGAAGGCTCCACGGCCGAAACGTTGTGTTTTAATAAACCTATTACTTGTTCCTTTGCAGCCTATGCATGCTGACGCAGCTACCCACCTGAATTTTAAATGCATATTATTTTAACAGGTAAAGGTAAGGTTTGGATCTAAGAGAGATATACAAATGTACAGAATGTTCAACTCATCATGACAGAAAAAAGGCAAACATCTTAAAACATTGAAATCATTGAAAGATTATTTTAATTAATTTATATTGCACCAATTAATAATGAGCAAAAAGGCTTTTTGTTCTTGAAATGTTTTACTACAGTTACACTGTAGAAAAGAAAAATGTTATTTTTCTTTTCTACAGAAAAAACAACGAACAATAAGGAAGGTAAAGAAACGTTTCAGCTGTGGAAACTTCGGCATGAAATGAACTTTCCCCCATTCCTTTGCAGAATAAGATGACACTGCTCTCTACGCGAGCTTCTTTGAAGAATGAGGAAGTCTAGTTTGTTAAGAAATCCACACATTTGGTATTGAGTTGAAATTCTGGGCTGGCAATATATACTGTGGATTGAGAACTCCTAGCCACCAAAAGGACAAAATAAAACAAAAAAGTTTTTTTAGAGAGAAAAAAAAATGATAAAAACGTGTTTCATTTGCAGACCATTTGAATAACTGGGCTGAGATCTGCGAAAATGCGCCACCCGGTCTTGAAATTGTGTCATCTGAAAAGAGTGAAAGAAGCCAGTTGATATGTGTTTGCGATCTGGCCTCCTGCTGCTAAGTTCCAGAAAGGGTTTTTGAAAAAACAGCCTTTTGAACTTTGGTTTATATCCAGTTTGTGTCTTTGATTAATATAGTTAGAAGTATAGTGTACTCCCATTTGACTGTGTGTAAACCTTGTCATTTCACCTTCTGTCCAGCCCAGAGGCCAAAAATTACAGCACAGAAGGACAAACTATTGTAACATCTCACCCAAAAGTACAGCCAAGAGCACAAGATTAGAAGGAACAGCAACATTATTTTTATATTTCTGCTTCAGAAAGAATTGGCATTGATGAATGCATTTCAAACCACATTGAAAGCAAAATGTATATGTATACAAATGTGTAAAACCTCCAATTTAAATCACAAAATAGACAACATTTTCAGGTGTGCACAGTGCTATGTTGCCCTCATTGTCTGTGATCCAGAACAAGGCAACAAAACATTCAGTGAGGTGAAGTGGCCCTACTATATTATCAACAAGGAGGCCTGTGAATACATTACATCTCTTTTTATCCATAAAATATTGCTCTCGGCTTCAAGATGGGTTTGCCAACAACTACTACTTACTTCTCAACTCTGCATGCAGATCCCTTTGGAATATTTCTGCGGTGAAATGTCTGCTGCACAACCTGTACTTATTCGCTCGTACATCACATTACATTAGTCGTTGCTGTGACTAGTGAGCAGGAAGGGCCGCCTCACAATGCAAGTCGCACAAAAACCTCTCACTCTCGCCCGCGGTGAGACCAGCAGTTTGCGCCAACATGGCAACTACACAGTACTTTCACAAAGGTCACGGTTTAGTGCTTAATCCGGAATTCGGAAAATTTGCAATCCCGTCAATTACTTAATTTTGTTACTGGGATTTAATAACTGGTCTGAGAAATTGAGACTGCAGTTCTCCTTTAAAGCTTGGACACTGTGGGAAAGTTCGGGTTCACAGCTGAGTGAAAGCTGGTGGTTTCAGTGCTGCTTTGTGCTTCCACCTGGCCTGGTGTTATGTATTTGGCTAGCACCAAAATATCTGGCTTTTTCTGCTTCTCAGGGATCACCTTCCTGTGGTGATATTAATGCCTCGTAGAATCAACCATATCAGTAAACGAAAAAGGTAAAGCTATGTGATTAGCATTTCTTGTTATTGGTCAGGGTTGGGGCAAGTTATTTTTCAAAAGTAATCCATTACAGTTACAAATTACTTGTGTTAGAGATGACTTTTTTCAATTTAGAAGAATTTGTGAGGTAATGCACATATGCACACACTCAGTGTAGATCACTGTAATAAGTGACTTTTTTAAAAGTATTTTCTCCTCAACATTTTGTCATCTTTAAAAAGTAACCTCTTACACAAGGAGCGTGTAACTGTAACGGATTACTTTGTAAGAGTATTATTCCCCAGCGCTGTAATGAGTGCCGTGTAAGTGTATGAGAGTAAGTGGGAGAAAGAAAAGAAGGGGAAAGCCATAACTCTCCCTCTATATGTCTTTTTCAGGCAGTCTATAACCTGGCGAATGTTGCCTGCAAGTGTCATGGCGTATCGGGGTCCTGCAGTCTGAAGACCTGCTGGCTCCAGCTGGCCGACTTTCGGCGGGTGGGGGAGTTCCTGAAGGAGAAGTACGACAGCGCCGCCGCGATGAAAATCAACCGCAAGGGCAAGCTGGAGCTGGTCAACCACCGCTTCAACCCGCCCACGCCCGAAGACCTGGTGTACATCGACCAGAGCCCCGACTACTGCCTGCGCAACGAGACCACCGGCTCCCTGGGCACCCAGGGCCGCCTGTGCAACAAGACCTCCGAGGGGATGGACGGGTGCGAGCTGATGTGCTGCGGCCGGGGCTACGACCAGTTCAAGACCTACCAGTACCAGCGCTGCCACTGCAAGTTCCACTGGTGCTGCTACGTCAAGTGCAAGAAGTGCACGGAAATCGTGGACCAGTTCGTCTGCAAGTAGAACCGGCTGGCAGCCAGGGCACCAGTAACTACAGCCAAAAAAGGAAAAAAAACAAAAAAACAAAAACAAGATATGATTTAAGTAAATAAAGAGAAGATAATTTAATAAGACTTTTTTTAAAAAAATAGAGGAAATTATCATGAAGAGGCATGAGGAACCCTTCCTTTTGTGTGTGTGTGTGTGTTTTTGGTTCGCAACACACCTACAGCAGCCTAAGCCGTGCTAAGTGGAGGTGCCGTTCGGGAAAACTGGGATGCGCACCCTGAACCTGCTTTTACACGCACACGCAGACACGGACCCTGCTCTGCCGAAATCTCGAGTCCTTGAGTGCTTAAAATCGAGTGGGGAGCCTTTCTTTGTGGACTTGTGGAGGCCTTTTACGGAACTCCTTCTGAAGAAAAAGAAAAGAAAGACACCCATTCTGCCACACCCCAGATAATCGTTTTTTATAGAACAGCCAAACCTTGCCCCATTGCCTATTGCCAGCAGAATAGAAGCATGGTAAGAGGGACTGACAAGGGTGAGGCTTTTCACCTGTTATGTTAGCTGTTTCCATCTGCTACGTTCGATTCATCCCAACTGCCTGTCTCTTTGCTTATGTTTAAGTCTAAACTGGGAATACTTAAAGTTGCATAATCAGGATGTATCTCTCTAGCACTCCACTTTCATTTACCCCCCTTTCTCCACGCTAATCTCATCCAACGAGCTGTCGATGACAGGGCCCCTAGCCAGGTGGGCCCAGTTTACTCTCTCCTCTTCGATAACAGAGAGGAAGCCAGGTCTACTGATGTTGCTCAAAAGTCTCTGCCCAGCCAAGAGGAAGACTGACACACCACAGACCAGAAGAGGAATCATTCACTAAACAAAACATTCGTTTCTCTGGATGTCTGAGGACTAGAAACATTGGAGAAGAAAAGAACACAACTCGTGTCAAATAAGAGTATAAGCATGTTTGTTGCTTGGCTGAAGCTCGTGTTTTGTCTGAAGCTTTTCAATTGGAAAGTAAACTTTGGGCTGGTTGTACACTTCAGTGTGTTCAGGTGAATGATACGTTGGCGGGGAATGTCAATTTGACTTTTTTTACACTCACTAAAATTATTTTATTAACAGCTTCTTGTCTTTGTCTTCCTCCACAATTTGTCAGATACAGGCATTTCTAAACTGCACTCTAGAGTGATGGATTTAACAACATTTAATTCCAATGCAGGCATCATCTATAGACAAGCCCACTACATTTATTTGCTCATTTTGTAGAAACTGGGTGGAACGCATTGTGCGTAAAAAGTTCTTGACTGACAGTGTTTTAAAGACCTAGACACATTGTCATGGGTAAATTTATTTTGGAAAAATTTAAATTTTGAATGTTAAAATGCACCTAAAAGAAAAAGGCACAACTTTAAGCATTTAAGGAAGAATGACAATCATTGCAATGGTAATGATTGTAGCTTACTGAGAATAATGGATTTTGTATTACACACGTTAAGTGTATTTCTATATATTGTTTTCGGTTAGTTTGAAAACCGGTGTTTCTCTGACTCTAGCCTGCCCTTGTTATGCTCTTTTGAAATACCACAGTTTCATTTTGTGGTGTTTTTCTCTTGGGATGAACAAACTGCATTTTTAATGCTCTAGCCTGAGTCTTTTCAGGGTGACTATTTATTTAAAGAAGATGCCTCAGTGACCCTGTGTTTGAGAATCCTATTCCCAGCATCTCCTCAGCTCCTGAGACCAAAGTGGAAACAGTCTTTTGTACCTCTTCAACGTTGCTGGAAATATGTAAATAATTTCCCTTATAACCAAATGCATTAATGACAGAGTATAGGCTATGACATCTTTTTGTATATCTCAGAGAACTACTGTCTCACAATTATACACTTACCATGTACTTTTTTCTCCAACCCCTTTACCTTGAAAAAAAGATAATTATTAAAGTAATATCCTTGTTTTGATTTTTTAAGTTGAGTTGTTTTTCTTAATATGCAGTGGCACTTTTTTGGTTCCAGAGTAATTTGGGGATAGTAAATACAGAGCTTTATTGTGGCTTAGAATAAATTAATTCGAACTATACCAGCTTCCATATAAACAAATGAGAATTGAAAGATCAGGTATTTACATAATAACACACATAAATGTGGCAATTTGTTTGGCCACACTGTTTTCTAGCATTAAAATATAAGAAGAAGAATACGGTTATGAAAAGTATAATTATCTCCCTCCTACAATGTGATTTTATGCCAGGTTTTGTCACATGGTGCAACAGCTATGGTAAATATAAAGTAAATAGAACCTTTTCTAGGAACTCTTTATTAAACTGATTTTTATAGATTGTTTTTAATGTATTCAATCACAGCAATTTCTGGATTGTGTTTCGTACGCCCATCAGTTTTCATTTCCATCGATCTTTTTGATTTCCCCAGTACCTCCACCTTTCCAGGAGTTTCAACCTGTAGGGTAGAAGCCAGGGTAGGTTTGAGAGTCGGCCTTCCCAAGTGAACTGAACTCACTATTGTAGATATGAATGAGGGGAGCTTTTGCTTACTGTATATGCTGCCAATTGTTTTTGATTATTATGTAGAAATCAAATTCAAGTAATCTAAAATGGAGTTTATTTTTCTTCATGCTTGCTCAGGACCAGTGAAACAAAAGGTTAAATCAACACAATTTCCAAAATTCTCTGTTTAAAATGAATTGTAAGTTAATTGTAATTGTGAAAATATATCCAGTTGGAGATTTGAATATCATGGTGGGTTCCTTGGCCTTTTCCTTACATCAAATTGGAACGAAATTCCCATATTACTAAGCATCTGATTTAAGAGTAATAGAAAAAAGATTTAATGCTTGAATGTTTATGCAATCTCGTTGTGCAAATGTTAATGCTTTTACTGTTGAAATGGAGATATATCCAAATCTTAAAAAAGGCATCAAATCCTTTGGTGAATAATAGTAGAAAAGTTTGGGGAAAAACAATCAGAAACTGTAAATTTACTGTAGAGCACTTTTGATTTGTGAAAGGGATAAATTATTTTGAAGACCAGTTTTCCCATAAAGGATGTGATTAGCACCCCAAACCAAACTGACACAAAGAAAATACTGTCTGGAACAGAAACTACACCTATCTAAGATGAACAAAACAATTTGTAATTACTGGCCTTTAAAATATTTAGAAGGCAGTTATAAAAGATGCAACAATAAAATATAACTATGTGAACTATAAAGATACAGTTTATCTATAGTGTCTTTTATTGGCAAGTACCACCTTAAAGCAAAGTTTTTGAAATAAAGTATATCACATTGGCTTATCAAAAATACAATAAATAAGGTACCACTCCCTTTAGAACATAAAATGCAACAATCTACAAGATTCAGAAATCATATTCTTGTTAGCTAACCACGATGGCCATATTGTACTGTCCCAAAAAATCAGTAAACATATCTACAAGATACCTTTCTACAAAAGATAATGATACACAAAAGGCTATTCAGAAGAATCAACACTTGAGTAAGTGGACGAACTGCGAGCATGTCAGTGTAGGATATTCCTTCAAGCCCAGATGTCTTGTCGTCGTGTCATCTGATGTAAGAGCAAAGGCATGACAGAATCGTGACATCATCTTGGGAAGTGTAATACAGAGGTCTAGTTTTGCAGTGTTCTTTTGAGATGAAAGAAGGAAGACACACTTCATATTGCACTCTTTACATTCAATGATTTTTTTTATGGTAGACAGTTGGTTCAATTATTACTGATACTAACTGCATTTAGTTAGAGCTTTCCATCCACAAGGTTTCTTACCTTTAGAAGGACCCACTTTGTCCACCACTGAACTGCAGCATCATTGGCAGTCCCTTGGGAAGAGAGAAATTAACTCACCAATTGAATTAATGGGAGAATTCAATTAGGGCAGATTGTTGAAACCCAGGGTAGAATTTAGATAGGACAGTGGGGTTAATACCCCTACTCTTTTAATCTGTGTCATGAGAAGCAATTCAGTTACTTTTTCCAGTGATGAGTAACAAAGCCAATAAATATAAAAAGTGCCATCTACATGAATAACCAATATCGAAAGGAAAAATAAGGTTCCATTACAGGGTTTATTCTGAGAATTGGAAACGAATGCAATGATAAATATAATAAGCTCATGTCTGACATGTAAGTCTTCTTACCTATGACTAATGGTTAGACACTCCAAAGGGTGCAACCTTCTTAAGATAATCCAGTTTATGACTGCCCTTGTGTAGCTTGTGAAATTGGGCTAGAGCATTATACAAGGTTGAAATGCTGAATGCTTTTCAGTGACTTAAGGTTCAAAAGTACATTTTAAACCATAAACCTTGAAAAATACAATCAATTATAGGCAGGAAGAACATTAATATAAAATAAATAAAATAGCAGTTTTCAAAAGCAAGGCAATGCTTTTAAATAGCTGTATCATTACTTAGAGACTTTTCTGCTTGTTACATTTTTGTGCATCTGGTACTTCCAAAATAACAGAAGTGGAAGGGAGCAAAGAAGTGATGATAATATCTGCTTGTGTAATGCTTTTCATCACAAATGAACCAACACATTGCAGTCCTCCTAATCCAGTACTGAGCAGAATCTGCCAGGCTTGGCCACCCAGATCAGAAGAGATCAGGCTTTAAGATGGTAAAGATATGGTGAAGAGGCAATGGATTTGGAACCTCCTGAAAAAACAGCATCCTGCTGTTTGGTTTGTTTGGTAAAGTAAGAATTTACTAAAGTAGGTCTGTTTATTTTGGAGATAGTAGGTGCTTTAGCTCCCTGCCCATTAACAGACTATAGACGTTCTGTTCATACAATGTTGGATCCTTTTAAAGGATTAAAGGTGCTGATTGTTTTTCTTGCCTACCTCCCCTCAAACTAAGTAAAATAATAAAAAAAACAACAACAACTAGGAAGCTGCTTATGTGAATATCTTGGTCTTTCCCACACACCTGTGCTTCAATAGTATACCCCATGCTGTCCTTGTCTGCTTCTTCCACCCTGCGAGAGGCTGCTGTAGGCGTTTCCTGTTGTCAAGGACTGCACTTTTGAATGCCATGCAGGACCGCAGCCAAAGCTTCAGTGCTTTCACACACCATGTGCCCTGTTCTAGAGGCACATATTAATAAAACATACACCACCAGGCTAAGTGTGCACCTGCTCTCGTCCTAAGAAGAAAAACAGCATGACAAATTTGCACAGGCACTTGGGTCTTTCAGGATTCTAATTTAGGGCAGTTCGAATGATGGTTTTTAGTTATGTTCGTTTGGTTGGTTACTTGATAGTTTTATCAGTTTCGTGTAATTCGGACAAATGAACATGCAAACTCTGAGGCAGTTGGATTGACAGACCTATAGTCTTAAACACTTGGGAGTAGCTAAGAGCAACGTTGTTTATCATATACTCCTGCTCCAATAGTATATAGAAGTATGCTTTAAAACAGCAACAGACTTTTAGAAATACCATTCTTGAAGTCACAGAAAAAAGTATATTATCCAATAAAAGATTCCAGTCTATACTTTTGACTGTAGTCAATTTTATCTATCAATCCAGTTATAATCCAGCCAAGAGTCACAAGAAAGCTGGTGCCTACCCCAGCAAGCAACAGCTGCAAGGGGGGATACACCATGGACAGGACACCAGTCCATTACATGGCACACATTGACACAAATACATACATACCTAACACCAGGGCCAATTTTTCCAAAAGCCAATTGACCTCGCCAATTTTTTAGCCAGCAGCCACATTACCCTCCAACTAATACTACTACTGATAATAATAATTGTTTACACTTATATAGCGGTTTTCTGGACACTCCACTCAAAGTGCTTTCCAGGTAATGGGGACTCCCCTCCACCACCACCAATGTGCAGCACCCACCTGGATGATGCGACGGCAGCCATAGTGCGCCAGAACACTCACCACACATCAGCTATCAGTGGGGAGGAGAGTAATGAAGCCAATTCATAGATGGGGATTATTAGGAGGCCATGATTGGCATGCTGACGCAGCTACCCACCTGAACTATTTAATACCATAGCTTACTTAACTAGCTCTGCATTTTAAAAGTCTTTGTTATCATAAAAAATACTGTGCATTTTGTACTTTCCAGAGTGCAGTGTTAAACAACGTCAACAGTGCAAATGTATTAGTGTCTCAACATGTGCATTAAAAGCTTCCATTTTACCTATTTTCTGCTGATGTCGGTGCGCTGACCTGGCAATTGACGCACAACTGTGACTGAACATCCTGCAGGCAAATATATTTTCTTAATGAAGAAAACAGAAAATCAACTACAAGACAGCAAAATTCTGCTCACTTAACTGTGTGAACTGGAATATGAATTTCTTCCTTTCTTTTGCTCTAGAGCTTAATGGAGGTGCCGCCGCTGTAACTGAAAAAGCAAACTTGTAAAAGAGCAGGACTTATTGGCAAATACTGCATAATACCTGAAGGTATGTCCTTTCCTGGACTCTAAGTGAAAAATCATAGCTTTTTCAAACTAGGCATACCTGGAACCCTCCTTTCTAGGACATTAATAAGTCTGGCTTTGCTCAATTACATTGTGATGCTGAATGAAGAACGGTTTAACTTTTCACTGTGTACTCCTCATGTCATGTCAGTCAAAGACTTTGGATCGGGTGTTGGGATTTTGCCACTAAATCCACATTGGGATGTTATAGCTAGTTACAGCCTGGGTGGGCCCTGCCCCTCTTTGTGGTGTTTATGATAGAACTGAGGGAAAAGCCAGGAAAGGAGAGAATATGCACATTGGAGACACTTAACAGATCCGAAGTGGCCCAGCAGCATTTTTTCCTGTGCTGTTTAGAAGTGCTGGCAGGCAGTGCTCGTACCACACCTGCTCCCACTGGGACTGGTTTAGCAGCTGCTTTGCCTTTGTAAAGGACAAGAACAGGCCTTTCAACTCATCAGTACTTTTTGTTTTCCTAAACACTAAGTCACAATCACAGTATCAAGCCATGACTCAAAACTTCCCAGGATCTCTGCCTCTGCTATGTGTCCTGCATTCCAAGTATTGATAACTCTCCATGTAAAAAAATATTTTCTAACAGTAGTACAAATTCCCAGTTACATTTCTGTATTCAGTTCACTAAACATAACTTGAAATAACCCCTGGGATTGATCTTATTTATTCCACTTACAATTTGGAAGACCTCAGTCAGGTTCCCTTTTTAGACATCTTACACTTCTTCAGCCTGTCCTGAAGAAACTCATCCCTGGTCTGTTTCATACAGTAATCACTTGAACCATATGAATTACTTCAGATGCAGTCTAACTACGGTATCAAACCTACTCCGTTGGGCCCCTGAGCAAAGCCCTTAACCCCAACTGCTCCAGGGGCGCTGTATAAATGGCTGACCCTGCGCTCTGACCCCAAGCTTCTCTCTCCTCGTCTGTGTGCCTGTGTGTTTTATGGAGAGCAAGCTGGGGTATGCGAAAAGACAAATTCCTAATGCAAGAAATTGTATATGGCCAATAAAATGTGATCTAATCTTAACTTATCTTAACAGTTTCAACATAAGGTCTCTCACCTGACAATTGACAATTTACATTCTTTGCTATGTAAGCAGGAATTCTGTGTGCCTTTTAACTACATCTTTGCAATATCTAGATTCTGAGACCACTGTCTGTACTTCTCTTTTGAAACTTTAGAATCATCAGGTATTTGTTTGCTATAAAAACACCCCATTTACCTGCCATTTTTCCTTTCTCAGCCCAGTGCCATGATCGCTGCAACCGCACCCAAATGCGAATGAGGAAGTACAGGCAGATTCGTTGACATGCATACTTCTGAGCTGACATGATACCTCATTTGTTAATTCATCATAGCCCTGTGCGAACAGATGGAGTGTCCCTTAATGGCAATACCATAGCCTTAAAGTGCCTGTTCACTATGACTCATGTCTCCATAGAGCCTTCAATGTCTAATCCCAGCTCTTTCCTTTGGGATGCTTAGTCAATCGTGTGCCGCCACATGGAGAGTCCTGGTTTATGTCTGATGGTAACATGCTCTAGACTGGGATCACACAGCTCAACTTGCGCTTGAGTTGAGCACATTTACTCAATAAACCATTGGGCAGCCTTGAGTCGACTTCAGACCCTAAATCAGAGCTTCCCATTGCTGGTCCTCACTAGCAATCAAGCAATTACTTTACCATGTGAATCATTGTCTGCACCTAAAAAAGTTTCAAAGGTACTTCTGCAGAGGAATTTAAGGTGTTCAATGTCATCATCAAGAGTCCAGCTGGATATAAAGCCAGACAATATTGAGGTCACAAAGCCCTGTTCTCACAATGTGTTTTTTTTATTTGAACATCTCCCGTGATATATTTATGTCTTATATTTTCCTAACCCACATTCAAGACCTTACATGTACGAACCTAGGATTCAAAGTTCACAATCTTCATATACTGATAAAGTAATGTATCATTAGTGTCGACCAGTCACTTGAGATTTGTATCATCAGCGTGTCTGACAATGTTATAAACTCCTTGATTATTTATCATAATAATAATAATAAACTTTATTTTATATAGCACCTTTAAAGGTGGCTTCTCAAAGCGCTTTACAGAATGACAACAACAAATAAATAAAAAGAATACACAAGATAAAACACAATTACAATATACAGAGGAGACCGTGGATGGTGGTACTAAGAAAAGCAGAGGGATGAAGAATGGAACCAGTTAAGTAAAGGCTTTTCTAAAGAAGAAGGTTTTAAGTCTGGATTTGAAGGAGTTTAGAGAAGGTGACTCTCTGATATCCTTGGGGAGAGAGTTCCAGAGCTTGGGGGCATAACAGGAGAAGGCCCTGTCACCCACACAATGTAAACGGGCTTGGGGGACAGTAAGGAGACCAGAGTTAGAAGAGCATAGGTTGCGAGGTGGGGAGTAGGGCGATAATAGTTTAGACAGGTACTGAGGTGCCAAGCCATGCAGAGCCTTATAACTACATCTATCATCCACATATGAGGAACAGCAGCAGTTCCAACACCACTCCCTGCAGCATCCACACCCTCACCAAACCAGACACCTGACAACGGAGCAGGTTCTGAGCCCAAGTGCTCATAAGTGGTTCACAATAAATCCCCACAGCTTTCAGTTTAAGAATGAATTGCTCTTGGGCAACTTTGTTAAAGGTTTTCAGAAAATCCAGACATGCAAAATCGCTAAGAATGTCCTTAAATTTGGTGGCTTCTTCTTCAAAACAATTAAGTGAGACCCTACTCCAAAGAACACACACAGACCGTCCTCAATACTATTATGATATAAATATGATTCTAGTTTGTCCCTAACAACAGATTCCCATATTTAACATAATGAACGTATTAAGCCGAGTCGCCATTAATTACCTGGTTGCTTTCCATTTTAGAATTCGTATGGAATTTGCAATCTTCCAGTCTCCTAGAAACTGGACTCTCCAGTTTAAAATGACAGTCATTTTTTATCATTGTGGTTTATGTAGTGGTTTATAAAATAATTCACTAATCTCTTATAGCCCATCCTTATGTTCAGATTTTTTTAATTTGTCTTAATATCACAGTTTCTTCAATTTCAAAGTTGTGTATTCTTACATATTAAAATGTGATATTTTCAAGACTTTAGTGAAGCAGTAACTGAGAGCATCTGCAATTTTCTTTTCACACTATTTTGCCCTACAGTTTTTTAATACTTTTTACCTCCTCCACGTTACTCAATGTCAATTCAGTTGCACTGACACCTTTTTCTCATGAATGTCCCCAGACAGTAGTGAATAAGACCCAGTAAGCACAGAACCCTACCTAGCTTGAGGCATGCACAATTAGGGGGCAGTGTGCTTAGCCTGGGGTGTTAGGAATAGTATTAAAACCGTAAGACTGGGAGAACCAGTAACACGTGCGTAAGAAAAGACAGGCTTCAGATCCACTCCAGTCACACCCCTGTTTGTTGAAAAAAAAAGCATCAGTACACATTTCAGTGTTAATCTTACATTATGAATACCTCAAAGGGCTTTTACTTCATTATATAAATCCCTTCCAATAATCCATACCATACTCTAAGAATGATGGTGTCAAAGGTATCAACAGGTCAGTGCTATGGTTCAGTATGGAGTGCAGTGGCTGAAACCTCAGCACATACTGTATGTGACCATTTCTCAGATATTTGCACAGGAATGCCGAACTCTGAAACTAGTGTGTGATATAACATAAAATGCGAAGTGTTAAGCTTTATACAAACAATTAACGTTGTGTTTCTGTGACCTCGAGAACTTCAGAGAACGTATTATTAGGCCCTTGGCAGGAAAACATAAACTTATGCAAATGTGGCCTGGTGATGTAACGGAAGAGGGAGAAACATGTTGCGAGAAGATTAGATAATCTTGTTTTTCTACTATCAGACATGTGATCTATTACTATCTGGGTGTGGGATTTTGTACTTTTCCACTCAGCTGAGGTAAGCATCACCTTGTTATCTTCTGGCCTTTTTTGAGATGCATGTCCAGACCTGTTGGCAGCCTCCTCCTCCTGGCCTGCTCTGATGAAGAGATCGGTCTTGCTGGCCTTGGGTTCTTCCCACTGTTCTTTCACCTCCTGCTCTCCCTGGTGCCTCTGTGGAGTTTCAGAGAATCCAAGAGGAACCCGGAGCTGAAAAGAGAGCTAACCCATCACTACCCCTGTGCAAATATGTAGCTGTGGGTTAATATATGATGATTTTGTGTTCACTGACTTGTACTGAAGGTAGGAAATGGAGGCGTAAATTAGTGAAATTATTTAGTGACTTACTTTGGTGAATAAATCCTCTCTTATACCTACCCAAGTCTTAATCAGTTATCTGATATCTATTAAACATGCTTTGGAAGACTACAAGAATATCAGCTGTGTCTTCTGTTACTTTCATTCATATTTAATTAGATTGCACTGTTCAGATTTTTGCATGCTTTCATGGGGTATTTGCTGGGTGCTACAGGTCCCTCCCACCTTCCAAAGACATGCTAGGTTACGAGATGTCTCTGATCCCTGTGAGTGAGTGTGCAATGCACCCTGCTGTGGGCTATCTTCCTGTCCAGGGTGGAGTCCCACCTTGCACACTAAGCTTCTGGGACAAGCCCAGAGACGCTCCCACCCCTACCAGGAGTAAACTGTTCTCCGATGCTGGATGAAAGGATAGAATATGTAGACTGGACCAGTACTTTTTTACAAACCCACACAAAAGAAATGCACACAGGCAGGGCAAGCTAAAATGCATGTCCCTCAAAGGCACGTGAGGCTTCCCATTCAAAAGGCTTTGTTTAAGAGTCTGAATGGACCCTAGTTAGAACTCTTGCTTTCAGTGATCACCTCACAATCTGCCTCTGCCGAGAAAAAAAAAACTACAGCAAAGCTTTAAACTTTAACTTCAGGGAAAAGTTTTTTTTTTGGAATAATTTGTAACATCCATTCATTTTCTTTGAGCTTTTTCAGGGTCTCAAAGGAGCCAGAGCCTATCCTGGCGTTAACAGGCACAGGGCAGTATACTCCCTGGCCAGGCCATGACAGGGCAGAAAGACTCAAACACAGGCAAGCACACGCTCACACAAAGACCAATTTTTGTAGAAGCCAACTAACCTACCTGTATGTTTCTTGGCTGTGTGGGGCCACTGTGCCACCTTGCCACCCTACGTTTAAACAAAACCAAAAAATACGAAGCAGTAGATTGTGTTCCTAGGCATGCTGTCTTTCTAAGGCAACTTCATTTTTTAAAAAAAAAATGGAGATCGAGGCTTACTGGCCACAAATCTTCTAAGACCGTTAAAGTTCCTGCCCAAGATAAAATGGCATTCAAGCAGGTGCACCAAAGGATCCCTGATGTACAATCAATTAAATAAATCTCGTTCTAAACCCCCTCCATGTTTTATTAAAAACAAAATGAGTAAAAAACTGAATGTACTGTGATTTGCATGGCAATCAATGTCCACATTAGAGCAAAGCAGTTGAACTGTTCTTCAATGGAAATATTAAAAGATTTTAGGACAGAAACGTTTTATAACTGTATTGTCCGTGTCGATGATGATCTGTGCAGTATGCTGATGAGGGTCTGCCTGAAATGTAATTGACATAATGTAAGGATATTATTAAAATATATGGACCACTGCTGTCTTCAGCTTGCTGTTGCCTTGGGCCAGTCGTACTTATTCCTGGTCCTCAGAGACTCCTGTGCCTTCTGGTATATATTCCAAATGAGCTTCATTGAATCTTAATGTCATGTCATAATTAGCTCAGTTAAGGTTTTTGTTTACAGCTCCTTATTAATTGGAGAGCTTGCCGTTACATCTGGATTTTTTTTTCAAGCAACTTGAAAAATCCAGCTTTTGCAGCACTGAAATGATAGGAACCGGTACTAATTAACTGTTAAGATTCTAATTGAGATTAGAACAAATTGAAGGCACTGGTGTCCCCACAGGCCAGGACCTTGTCTCAGACAACCGCTGAGGTTACATCACTATACTATATGACTTGATGGGTTTATTTTGTCATATAACATCTGGATGGTGACTACGATGGCGCTTCTGTATTTCAATTTGCAGTGTGCTCCTGGCAACAGCCAGATATATGCTCCACTTTAGGATACAGTAAGAAACAGACACAGAATTAGTGTTTAGTAGGTAATATGGCAAAAGCAGTAATAGGGCAAGCTTACATTTTCCCCATTTCTATTGTTCTGTATATCCAGCAACTAGGAACTGTCAGTTGTTTCAAGGCTCAGATCAACAGGAATGATTCCTGTACCAGCTCAGGAGAGAATGACACACATAGATGTGCTCCGCTACAGAACCATTTATCTTTTGGCAGGTGGCAGGCTCCACAGCACCTAACAGGAGTGTTGAGAGGTAAGTAGGATTTCCACATTAGTCACTCCAAGCGGTAGTGCTCCCGTATGCACCTAGATTTGAAAAGACGCCGACTAATTCCAGGCCTACCTCTGGCAGTGCTGTGACAGCTGTGCACTAGTTTTCTGGGGAATCACAGTCACAATTACCTAATGACATCATTCAGGCTAGAACTGTCAATGTCTGGGCCAACATGCATTCCAAGAGAGACCCTTTGCTGGGGCACCCAGAAGATACTTTTGCTTCCAGGAACTGAGTTTGATACTCTCATCTTAGATCCTTTTTAAAAGACTTAAACCACTCTCAGATTTGCCAGGTGTCCTTTCTCCACCTGTAAAACACCCTTAGCTGGATTCTGCGAAGGGCTTTTCCTCCCTGCTAAAAACGTCTGTGATTTGCTTTCTAAAATTTCAAGCGTAAAAATGAGTTCGGAAGTCGAGACACCTTTCCCCTCCTTCCTCTCTCCTGGCGTAAACAACCTGCGTTCTGCTACACGAGAAGCTAGAAATGTTCTGCCACGTATGTTCTGAACTATATCGGGTACATGCTGTACAGTACGGAAGAAATTACGCAGCCGACAAGAATCCCTGTAGCCACAATTACTGTATGTAGAGGATATTTATGTTCTACTTTATCTTACAAGCATTTATTCTTAAAAGGCACTGACGTGCAATCATTTTTGATTGACGTAGTTTTGTTTTACGTGGAATTACATGCATTCTAAGGTTCTGGTTGAAAACAGTCGTTCTTTTGTTTGCATTTGTGCGATCGCTGTTCAAAGGCAAAAATAAATGCAACAGGCGAGTTCTCATGCTAAGCATAACAGTTGATCAATTAATTTCTTACACTGCTCCAACACTCCGAAATCACCCAAAGTCTGTTGCCTTCGTACCGTCAATTTAAACTCGCAAGTTTGGAAAACTACAATGTCAAGCGCGCCACAGGAAGAGAAGAACTCCAACTACCATCAAAACACCGAGCGCGACGGAGGGGCTTATTTCTTTCGCGTGACCTTAGCCAACCCCTCAGCACAATCACGTGGGGGGTTTCTGGCGCGTTTTTATTGGCTATCAATGACTCACGCGATGGGCGTCATAGACGACGCTCACGGCCTCCAGGAGTCGAGTTTATTCCAGTCAGTCAGTTGGTTGATAGGAAGGTAATGGTAGTGTTTAGTGGTAGGAGCAGGTGTTTAACTGGGTCTTATCAGCTTCCTGGGAGCAACGTACGTTTAACTACACACCTGACCTGGCTTTTCGCTTTTAAGGTAATTGAAGCACCGTTACTCGTGGGGGATTACAATTATATTCTTATTGCCGATTTTAGACAGGGCACATTCGCGAGAGGACCGGCCTCTCTTGTTTATGTGTAATTTCTGTGGGTCTTTACAGTGATCTAGGCAGACGAGACGAGTCCAGCATTCCTGTCTGAAACAAGTGCACTTTCCACCTTTTAGCTCGGAGAAGCAGCCCCTCTAGATCCGGAATCACAAGCCATGACGATCGCCAGAGCGTTTTAGTGGTTATAGTCTAATTAGTTCAGTATCGGCTACTGTCCTCTTTTGACTTCGATGTGATGACTTAATTTCTAAATGTGTGCGTGGTCTTCTCTTTTCGGCTTTGCCAGCTGGTTAGAAAATAGCTACTTTCTCCTTTGTTCCTGTTCGGGCAGGTGGTAACTGAAATTTTGCGGCTCTGTCTGTTTTTCCACGGCTTGCTTTGTTTTTAATGTCTCCAGACGGGGTGGGTTGTCACTTATTTACAAGCCCCCTAACAAGCGACATTTGTGATCCGTAAGTCAGAAGGCAAACACCGGAAAAAAAACATTTTCGGATGCGTATCAGCGTTTTGATATGATCATCTGTCCATCTTTCTGTTACATTAAGATTAAAAGTAAAATAGCTCGCAGCACTAATGCAGCTGACTTTGAAAGGGAGTTTGAGGTGAGGCCGGTTGTAACTGAGCGCAGTGTTTAAGATAAGGGTGTTAATGATGTCTGTCCGAAGACTTTATTTAAAAAAAAGCGTTGAAGAGCTGAAATTAACAATAATTTGGCCACGTCATTAACGTACCAGTTTTTGATCATTTCGAGACGCTTGCCAAATCTGAAGGAAACGTGCAAATGGTTTGCGTTTTGAAATATACGCCATTTACCGATTCACCCGACTACAATGCTTTTGGACTCTTTTAATTGAGCGACTGATTTTTAAGATCTCTGTACTTGTTCTGATACTGTTTGAAATCCATTAGAGCGCTTTCCTTATTAAAAAAACACATCAAAATAAAGTAGAACCTAATGTAGTTCACATTATCGTCATCATATCAATACAGAAATGTTACAGTACATTACTATGATGCCTGGGCTGATATAATGTCCTAAAATGTTTTAGGTGAAGATCTTTGTGAACAATTTAATTTTTCTTTAATTGTTTTTGCGAAACAAATTTACCTGTAATGTAAAAAGCATCCTAAAACGGCATTCAACAAAGTTCTGTATTTAACTACTCTCTTATCTCTCGGAAAAGCAGTTTAAGATTTTGGGAAAGCACCATGCATAAGATTTTCTGTATTCAAATCTAGAGACATGTTTATGGATTGCCTCCTGTTATGTTATATATTGTGCAATACTGTAATCTTCATACAGTAATATTGCAATCCTACCTGAACTAAGTCTTTTGTTAAAACAAAATCTATTCCACACTACAGTGCTCAGTGCTTGCTAACTTTTATTCTCTTTGTGCCCTGTGAAAATAAGTCAATCAATGGACATATTTTTTATTTTAAGTCACAGTAGTATAACTTTTTTTTTCGACAGCAGCAATCCAGAAATATTCCACTTGACATGATCCAGTTTAAATGTTATTCCCCTACAGTAGATACTTCCTCACTTGTCTTAAGGATATATAGAAAATGCAGGTTGCAATTTTTTAAGCTCATTTCACCGAGTAAGGAATAAAAGTGAGAGGTATTCAAAGTAACTGTGCAAAGAGGTTGGCATAGTCAAAGTACTGACCACAGTGTTGGATATGACTCAGTCTCATAGGTTTTCTGAGCCCTTTCTGAGAACATGATTCAATTAAATATTAAAAATGCGGATACATTTTTAGTTTTTCTTTGCAGCCACATTTTAATTTATAGTTTCATTCTGCATCTCATCACAAAATGTTTTTTCCCGTTAGTATTCGAATGAATTGACTGTATTTAAGTATGCACGCAATCAAGTAGTTTTTTATTAAAGTATATATTTTTTTCATTTATATTATTCCATGTAATACAATTTAAAGTTGTTGCTTTCTTTTAAGATGTATGTGGGAATGGCTTAAAGGAAAGTCTGAAGATGGAGTGAACAGGGCATGTGAAATTCGGTTTAAGTGTCTGCATTTGATCATATTGCATTATAATTGCACTGAGGTCCAAATTTGAATTTCTGTCTCAAGTATACATCAGCCAGTCCTACATGTGTGTAAGAAACAATGCTGGCTCAAGAAAGTGTTCCAAAGGTAAGTGTCCTATCACTAACACTTGTGCATCAGAAGAATAGTATTAGCCAAGACAGGCCTGGCGTGCTGTTACTCCTGAGCTTGGGAGTGGTTTGAGCTGACACTTTCCCTGCAAACATTTATTTTCCAATTCTTACATGCATTAATAAAAATCAACAAGAACTTCGTGGACAGACATTGCAAAAAGAAAAAAGTTTCCAGATTTGAGAATTAGGCATTTACGGATCTAATGAGACGTATTTATTTTTTTTGTAGAAAATCAGGCTAAATGATTGATGCCACCTCTATGTTGTATTAATTAATCAGGGGTCTTGTGTTATGTTTTCAGTGCCATCTCACCTTTATGTAACCACAGATGTGTATAATTGAAGCAATTAAGCCTTTTTTTATATACCAGTTTTGTTAAGCAACCTGGTAAAAACAATTCTGTAAAAAAAGGAAAGCTCTGTGACCTTCGACAGCGTGTGGGTTAATGCAGTTTTTGTTGCACATCATGGCTGTAATATGCAATCACCAGATATCAGATTGCAACATTTCATCACTGCCTGAGCTGTGCTATCTTGGGTAGCAAGGCTGTGTGGATGTGGCTTTTTCCCCCCAGCAGGAGGAAAGAGAAGGTCTTTTATGGAATTGGAAAAGGCCTCAGAGGTGTGTGTAGTGAAGCTGGTGCACTGAAAGAGCAGGGGACCTACATTCTCTGAGGGGGGAATTGGCTACTGACTGGCTCAGCTTTCAGAGGTGTTCACACTGAGTGCAGGTTGAACTCTGTGACCCGGAAGTTTCGTGTGTGTCAACGACTGGGGCTCTTCAAGAGATGGGCACACGACTGGCTCAGCTTTGCTAGGTGTAGGGTTGGTTGGGCTTTTGTTGTCTTTAGGGGAAATGGCCACTCCTGCACCATCCGAGGCACCTGTAGGCTTAAACCAATGCCCGTTAAAGATGTGTCGCTACTCTGGTTGGCGCTAGCTGTCCCATAAGGCACTGCGAACCTTGTCCTGTCGAATAATAAACGACTCTGAGGGGTGGGCAAGTTGGAGGAACTTCCTCATTCCCCCCCCCATTTAGTATAGGAGTCGTTCCCGTGTCCAATACATAAAGAAGTAATAGGTGGTTAAAGACTGAGGGGTGTAAAATGAAACTAAACAGGGATATAGATGAAATCTTACTAGTTTGGGAGCGTGTCAGTGAGAGCAGAAGGGATTTCTGGTTTCCCCAGTGCCGTGCACAGGTTATTTTCAGTGTAGACATTGATATTATGTATTCTGGACAATCTTGCCTTTTTGGCCTTTAAATCTATGACGTGACCATACATTTCTTCATTATTCATGCGAAGGTTCAGACCATATCTCCAGGTATTTATGCACTGTACGTCCAGACTACCACAGAAGGAAGTCTAATTTAACTTTAACCAAATGTGCTTGAGACTTGGGCTTTCCTGACCTTTTTTTCTTGTCAATTAGTAATGCACTGCCCGTTGAGTCAAATCAAAAGCTGGTATGCTGATCGACTGTATTTGTGCATACCACAACCACAGTCCTGTAGAACAATGCAGTATACTTTTGTACTTCTGTGGGTGGTGGATTTTGATCATGACAACAGATTCATTTGAGCAGTTTTCACAAATGTGGTTTTGGAAGTGAGAATTCTGAGACATCGTCCAGTAAGTATCCTTTGTGAATGTTCCTTAGGGTGAAGCCCCTGTTCTCTTTTTTTTTTTTCTTTTCCGAGATCTCGCATCAACAAAATATTGAAGCTCACGTTAAGATGCCCTGCATTTTATTTTCCATTTAAAGGGAAAATTGGGGTCTTCGTGGGGAGTGTTGTAAGACTCTGAAGGGATACGAGAACAAACGCTTTCAGTGTCAGGGAGCAAGATGTTGGTCTTAGTACTGGTGGTTGGATGCTTTTCAGGACATATGACAGAGGAACAATGGCACCAGTGTGAAGATCGTAGTAGAAGGCCAACATCACAAATCTCTTATATTGTCACATGATTGTGGCACCAAGAAAGCCTAAATAACATGTTTTGTTTGTGTTTGCTCTGCACCCAGTTATGCCAGTGATTGTAAAAAGAACACAATGTTTTATTTATTAGGAGAAGTCTGGGGGGAGTTCTAGATGACAGTTGAGCACAAATTGAGCTAAATTCAACCTGGCTGCTCTTCAAGAGTAAGTGAAGGGACAAGTTGTGGAATAGGGTTGAAAAAGAGGCTCTGAAAAGATGTACCTACAAATATGAGCCATGTTTTTTTTTTAGGTTGGTTGAAGGCTGTACTGGTTAAAATTGTTGAGTTTTAATATTTAGCTTATATTTAAGTAGGGCATGCAGATATAGCTTGCAATGCTGGTATTTCTTCCAAATAGATTTCCTTTTTTAAAAAAAAAGGAAACTTAGCCTCCTCTGCTAAACAGTAACCGAAATGTTCGGTTTCACGGTTTGTAATCCCTTATGCAAAGACCTGAGAAGCTTGCATCACTGTCAGTGCTGTTGGCCACCCCTCCCCCAAAACTAAGAGTGAGGGCCAGAAAGCAGCTCCTCCTGTCGTGCGCAGCAACTGCAGGCCCTGCTGCTCTCTCCTAGGATGGCTCTGTGGAGGGGACAGTCTTGGCTCTCCGACACCGAGCTTGCTGGGAGTCTTATTGTGAGATGCCTCCGGACGTCTGGGAAATGGACCTTGTCTGTGGCTAAGGATCTGCGCCTGTGGCTGGAAGGTTGCCGGTTCAAATCCCGCAGCCGGCAGAGGAATCCAACTCCGTTGGGCCCCTGA